TTGCCGCTCACGGGCGTGACCACTGTGTATTTTATGGGCCTCATATACCGAGCGCTTTCAGAATGATCAGTTGGGAATTATTATATATTTAAATCCAAAATGTGCGCCCACTCTAACGTCCACCCACATTTTTAAGAAATTTAAGTGAGATTTGAATTATCAATGTCCAACTAAATGGGAAAAATGTTTAAATTCGGGCCATTAATTAATAAGGTATAAGCAAATAAGGTGTGCAATCTTGGGAACAGACGCTTTGCTACTTGTATATTCCTATCTCCCTCGCACTCCCTGCTCCCAGTACATTTAACTAAGTAACGGGTAGCTGATAGTCGAGGCCGTCGACTATAGAGTTTTCTCTTGTTATACCCGTTACTGGTAGAGTAAAAGTGTATACTAGATTCGTCGGAAAGTAAGTTACGCATTGAAGATCGCGTTTCCGACCCTATAAGGTATATATATTCTTGAACAGGAGCACTTGCCGAGTCGATTTAGCCACGTCCGTCTGTCTGTATGAACGCTGTGATCTCGGAAATTATAAAGGCTGCAATAATTGGATAAGGCGTACAGATCCTAGAAATTCCTTCGCAGCGCAAGATTGTTTCGTCAGGGTGCCACGCCCACTGTTACGCCCACAAACCGCTCAAAACTGTGGCATTATAATGTTATTCATGGTAATTCTAGTCGATAGATAGTGCTATTTCAAACTCAACTGTGCATACACTCTCGCATATTGGTAAGTACAAGTAATATATGTGCGGAGATACATCTAGTTGATCAGACCCCTATTTGATAGTCGCCATTAGATGTTTTGTTTTGTAAGTCTCTTTGCTTGTCACGTAGGTCGTGGAGGGATCCCCCTGACCCCCACAAGACCCCCTTTACAAGTGCTTACCAACTAGCATAAACAACAACTGCATAATGACAACCGTTTTACAACGGAGGAACCGCAGTCAACGAAAAAGAGACGCACCCAAGAGTTAAGGCCCCGACTCAAACTTGCTTGTAATATATGTATATATAGAACATATAGCACATGTATGTGGCATACAGTCGCACGGTTTGTCTGGGTTCTATAGACCCTATCGCCCCTTCCCCCCCCTTTAAACCTCCTACGAGTACTCCCTTTCGGAGTTACTGTGGCAGAGACCAATTAAAATGCGCGACATCACATATGCGCGAGCATTTATTATAAATTTTTCGTTGGAATTGAGTAAAAAATAGTTGAATGAAAAAGAAAGCAAATGAAAAATACATGCGGGAGAGGTTTTAAAAAAGGAAGCAGGGGAAAGTTGTCGAAGTGTGTAATACCCTGGTTTAGGTGTTAGTAAACTCAAATTTCTGTATGTTTTCCAGAAAATGTTGTTTTGTTGTGAGGAAAGCAAACTTTCGCAGAGTTCAAACTGCCACTTAAGATATCTTATGCATTCTAAAAAAGCATAAAACCTATAAAAATGCATCCTGGGATACAAAATCGTGGATCGCAAAAGTTATAGTAACTCGAAGAACTATATAATGAGAAATCGGAAATTGTGCAAGTGGTAACAATGGAGCAGCAGGGAAGTTAGCTGAAGTAAACAAGGAGGTCAGCGAGGGGGTGCTTTTGGGGGTGGAACTGTTACTATATCTGGTTGGCCTACACACCCTGCATGTTACAATGTTCTTAATATGACGCTAAGTTGTTAGCTCACACTAACACACGGTTCCTCTCTTTTTCCCACATGCATTGACAAAGTTGACGATGCATTACACAGTTCCGGGAGAAAAAATGGGTCGCAGCGTTATAGCAGGGTTTTAAAATTATTGGCATGCGAACGATGCTGCAACGCAATTAAGTTTTCCTAGTGCCGGAACAAAGGCAGCGAGGTACTTTAAAAGTGGACGGCGCTGTACTATGTTTGTTGTCATGCAGGGAAATTATTTCGCACCAAATTGTATTTCGTATTAATTTTACCACTTTACATTATGCAGTCTTCATTGGGCGGTGACAGGTAAAACAGGTTCATTAAAATGCAGTAAACAGCTTTAAACTTTTCACATCCTTTTTCTAGTAACCGAGACTTCTTGGAGTTCATTATTTAAAGCTTATGTTAAGGTACACAGTGTTTTAGAGCAGAAAAAAATCACATTTTTGTGATTTTTTTTTTTTCGTAAGTGTCCGATTTGGCTTGTTCTGGTTTATATTAATCCTTCAATAGAAGGGGCATTTGGAAAGTTTCAGCCCGATAGTTTTAAGACTGAGAGACAAGTTAGCGTAGAAACGGGCAGACAGACGGACGGACGGACAGTCGCATATGGCTAGATTGACTCTTCTAATGATGATAAGATTTAAATGCCGTTTAAATGCGGTTTTTCAGGCAAAATGGTCTGAAAAAATAACTCTCAACTGTCATATCTCCCAAGTTTTGGGAGCTTGGATAAACAAAAAAAACATTTTTGAAAATGGGGATTATAGTCACTCAACAAGGAAGAACGCTATAGTCGACTACCTCGACTATCAGATACCCGTTACTCAGCTAAAGGGACCAAAGGGAAATGGAGATAGCAGCAAAGCGAGATTAAAATGCGCCATCTACCGGCGGTAGACAGATTTAAGCGTTATGGGCGTTAGAGTGGGCGTGGCAAATTTTTTTTGGATCAATCGATAGGTATTGATGAGAACAACACATTTCAGTTAAAATTTTTTTTCTAGCATCAAAACTGTTGGAGCCACAGTTTTGGGCGGCTTGTGGGCGTGGCACTCTGCTGAAACAAACTTGCGCTGCGTAAAAAGCTCAGGAATCTCCACGCCAAATCTCAATAGACTAGCTCCTATAGTTTCCGAGATCTCAGCGTTTATCCGGACAGACTGACAGACGGACAGACGGACATGGCTAGATCGACTCGGCTAGTGATCCTGATGAAAAATATATATACTTTATGGGGTCGGAAACGCTTCCTTCTGCCTGTTACATACTTTACGACGAATCTTTTTTGCTCTTTTGAGTAACGGGTATAATAAATTCATTTGTTAAAGATTATGGGAATTGAGATTTCGTCAGCATACACCTTTAAGATTTTTGTGCAGTTCTGATAACACCTAAATACATTGTCCAATATTTACGAAATTTCCGAGTGGCGACTAAAACTGAAACTGGAAAGCTGCACAGGAACTGGATGTGCAGAAGTGAGAAACCCCTCGAAGGGAAGTTAAACAGTCTTCTGGGGTTTTTAGAAATGTTTTTTTCATCCTGTTTTTGTGCCCACCCCTTTTGCCGCTCTGCACTTCTTTGGAGCCGTGAACAAGTTTTGTCAACTATTTCAGTAAGTTTTCCATTCCATGTCGCCCTCCTTATGTTTGATTTCCTCCATATTCCTCCATTAGGGAGCTAAGCAAAGAGCAAACTCAAGACAATGCAGTTGGATTTGCCAAACCCTCCGAAAATCCCCTTTTGAGACTTCAGTGCATTACTACTACTACTGCACTTAGAAAAGTTCAGTTAACCCTAAGCTAAGGCGATGTGTCGGTATCCGACAGTGGTTCAACTGTTTCTGTTCATGCGTTCATGTGCTGGTCAAGTTCGTAATAAGCCTAGTGGTAAAGAAATATATATATGACTTACAAGTTACCTTTTACTAATCGCATAAGCCGCTTACGCTTATGACTTACATGCCTGCCAATGTGACCGAACCTTAGTTTGCTGGCTAATGCCGAGTAATAAGTTCGTTAAACTTACCAAACTGCAGATTCTATTATGACTATACAGTCACGCACATGCGGTTTTTCAAAGCATTGAAGGCTCCCATATTACCTGATAAAAGTACACCAAATTTCAGAACAATCGGTATGGTACTTCAAAAATGGCCTGGTCTGATTCACATAATGTTGTGACTCAACATTTTAAAAAGATATTCTTAGTACACTATTGTTGAGTCCGCTGCACTGTTGTCGAATTTTATTGACTAATGAAGTAGTTTGTGGACACTTTCGGCTCCTTTGAAGAGGAAAGTGCCGTAAAAGCGCCAAGCACCGTTGCCAATTTTCACACAAGCCCCAGCAAATTAGAAACAATTTGCTGTAAAGTGCATTTAAAATCGAGAGCAGCAAGTAGGAGTAGCCTTTGAAGTGTTCTTAAGTGAAGAGCAGGACACATTTTGTCAAATCAAAACTGAATTTGAATATCAATCAACTTGAATTAAATCAAAATGTGCAAAATAAAGTGAGCTCACACACACTTCTTCATACTATGCACAAATTTGAACATAATTCTAGTAAATGTGTCTGGTTTAAGTCCCTTCGGCCGCAGCCAGAGGTCGAAAGAAATGAGGAAGGAGTTGTTGGAATGGAAATGGCATTCTGACCGGAGAGATTGCAGCTGAAGGCTTTTAGCCACAAACCTTTACAGCGAAGAAAGCTCCGAGAATGCTGCGGTGCGGTGGGGCTGGGGCTGGAAGCTTGTCAATCCATCAGCCAGTAGTTTACGGACCACAAAAGATGATAGAGTACCTGGCAGACATTCCTGCTGCAACTCCAGAATGTCAAGTTTGCTATCTATAATTTAGTGGCATATTCAATTTGCCAACTGCCTTTTCCATGGACATTTGGACAGTTGATTAGGTATTGCACACACGTAGTGGCAATTGATGCCCCAGATTCGCGCACCTGTTGGTCAGTTCCCTAGCTTCATGGTGTCCACTGTACATTATCCCCTCCTTCGTTTGGTGGTGTTACTCGTTCTCGTGCTTCATCGCCTTTCTCTTGCTTTTCCGTCTGCTTGAATTGATTTCCATGCCTGTGCACGTAGAAAAAGGTGTAAATGTTGACTGGGATCTGGATCCGATTCCGAATTGGCGGATTGATGGATTGCCGACCATTGTTTGTGCATCGTTTGGAACGGACCTAAACATTAAGGAATCTAGAGTGAAAAAAAACCGAGTAGGTTGTACGTCATGGAGATGTATTTAATTTAAATGAGATTTTAATCAACAAAAATACACATAAATGAAATATTTATAGTTCTTGCCAGTTAAATAGGTTTTTACTTATCGCTTAAAGAATTTGAACAGTAAAATGTTGACCAAAATTAAGGTTTCCAGAAAAATTTTGTTAGCAAAAGGCATTACGAGCTCCAACCAAAAAACCGCTGGAATAGCCCCCGTCTATTCTCAGATGGCGTGACTGCCGCTGACGCCGTTCGTGAGGTGGGCTCATTTTCGGCGGCGCTGGTCTCTGGCGGATTGTCGCTAGTCGTGGTCACCACCGTTGGCGTAGAAGGGCGACGTTCGGGAGCGGGTCGGGTCAGGGGAGCGGCTGGAATCGAGGCGGCGACGGCGGCCGCCAAGGCCAGAGTGTCCTCCGAGGGATGCGTAGCCAGGGGCGTGGCAGTGGGCGATTCCAATCCAGTGGTGGCCACAGGTGCAGGTGTTAACTGCGATTGCTTTGAAGGGTCAACCTGCTGTTGCTGCTGCGAATGCTGCTGCGACTGACGGTTGTGGTTACCTTTGCCCTTGGACTTGTTACTAGCACTCGACTTGGGATTTGCCATTATCTAAAAGATTGGAGATAATTTTTGGTTGGAAATCAAAAAAGATATTTAACAAGAAAACTAATAGAAAATTTAAAAAAAAAACCCACGTAAAGTTCCAAACGTGTGTGTAAGGCAGGGTCTCTGGCACGACTGTAGGCTTGGCATTTACATAGGCTTCGACCTTTGACATCCCAACTCCATGCACACTTGATCCAAGAAAAAAGAAATGCCTTGAATTCTACTCATATTTTTTCTTTCAAAGAGGACCAACATTTTTATACCCTTGAAGAGGTTATAATGGTCACTATACGAGTTGATCTAGCCATGTCCGTCGGTCCGTACGTCTTTCTGCCTGTCTGTCCGTCCGTTTCTACGCAAACTAGTCTCTCACTCTTATAACTATCAGAATGCCACCTTCCCAAAAGTCTTATTTCTATTGCAAGTATATATGTAATATATATATGTAAGTCGGAACGAGCCGGGTCGGACAACTTTAAACCATAGTTTCCAAAGGAGTATTAGAAAAAATGACTAACAGATTCGTCGGAAAGTATGTAACAGGTAGAAGGAAGCGTTTCCAACCACATAAAGTATATATATTCTTGATCAGGATCACTAGCTGAGTCGATCTAGCCATGTCCGTCTGACCGTATGAACGCAGAGATTTCGGAAACTATAAGAGCCTATTCTCTTTTACCTCAGTATATAGAATTCTTTCATCAATCAATGTGGACGGCAGTCCACGTAGTGACGAAGCGCACCAGGAGAGTGTGCGAAGGCGACTACTATATATATATTCAACGAAAATCTACTGTGATGATCCGATCATATCGGTACACCAATCGAAAGGTAAATCAATTGGTTTGGGAGAAAGAGCGGGGAAAGTGTAAAAGTAAAAATTTAGTATGAGTAAATTTGGGAAAGTGTATTTAATTTATCGAATGTATAAAACAATGTCGTCTCAAAATTTTTATATAGTTTTATAGTTTTTTATGTTAAAGGTGAGATCGTCACGGCCCTTTACCTCGTTAAGAGGTGTTTTGTTTTATTCAGAACAACGAAACAAATTTGATAAAAATCAGAATTCTATATCAGATAGCTGCCATAGGAAGGATCAAATAATTAATGTCAAAAAATACAGAAATCGTTAAATTTCGCTTTCAGCAAAACGTAAATGTAACATTATCTTAACATTTTTGTTTGTTTCTTTAGCTTCCTTTACTAAGCTGCCTTTCTTGTTTGATATATTATCTTTTACTCTTAGGAATATCATTTTTTTAGTGTTTCAGAATTTTGAATTAAAGTTTTTAAAAATCGTAAGACTATGTCAAATTAATTATAGCTTCCTTATTTTTTATCATATTCTCTTCTACTCCGGTATGTAACATTTTTTTCCCATTTTAAACTTACATATTAAATTTGATAAAAATCGGAATACTATACTATTTAGCTGCCATAAATTTTATTCCTTTTGTAATTTTTTTGAAGCTTTTCGAAAATTGGGAAGGCCTGTGTATACATTTCCCTTAAAGGAGAGACCTGCAACGGTAAAAAACATCGGCTTGCAGAAGCTAGTTTCTTTTCTTGTTGGCATATGTTTATTTTTAATTTTTCGTAAATCCAATGGCGCTCAGAATGGGAACCCAATACTGCACTTCTATAATCCATAACTTGAGTAATTGGATACCGATTTAGAGGTGTGATACCTCTATGAGTTTGTGCTTAAATTCCCTAATAATCTACATTAAAATATTTCTTTTAAACGAGGGTCAATATTTGAGCCCATTATCATGATCAATTTTTCCGTAAATCCAATAGCTTATAGAATGGGAACTCAATACTGCACTTCTAAAACCCATAACTTGAATATTTGGATTCCGATTTCGAAGTGTGATACCTCTATGAAAATTCCCCAATAATCTGCATTAAAATATTTCCTTTAAAAGAAGGTCCAAATTTGAGCCTATTTTCATGTTCAATTTTTCCGTGAATCCAATGGCTCATAGATTGGGATCACAATACTGCACTTCTGTAACCCATAACTTGAGTAATTGGATACCGATTTAGAGGTGTGATACCTCTATGAGTTTGTGCTTAAATTCCCGAAAAATCTACATAAAAATATTTCTTTTAAACGAGGGTCAATATTTGAGCCCATTATCATGTTCAATTTTTCCGTAAATCCAATGGCGCTCAAAATGGGAACCCAACTCTGCACTTCTATAATCCATAACTTGAGTAATTGGATACCGATTTCGAAGTGTGATACCTCTATGAGTTTGTGCTTAAATTCCGTAATAATCTACATTAAAATATATCTCTTAAGCGAGGGTCAAAATTTGAGCCCATTTCCATGTTCAACTTTTCCGAATTTCCAATAGCTTATAGAATGGGAACTCAATACTGCACTTCTAAAACCCATAACTTGAATATTTGGATTCCGATTTCGAAGTGTGATACCTCTATGAGTGTGTGCTTAAATTCCCTAATAATCTGCATTAAAATATTTCCTTTAAAAGAAGGTCCAAATTTGAGCCTATTTTCATGTTAAATATTTCCGTGAATCCAATGGCTCATAGAGTGGGATCACAATACTGCACTTCTGTAACCCATAACTTGAGTAATTGGATACCGATTTAGAAGTGTGATACCTCTATGAGTATGTGGTTTAATCCCCTATTAATATACATTAAAATATTTCCTTTAAACGAGGGTCCAAATTTGAGCCAATTTTCATGTTCAATTTTTCCGTAAATCCAATGGCGCTCAAAATGGGAACCCAACTCTGCACTTCTATAATCCATAACTTGAGTAATTGGATACCGATTTCAAAGTGTGATACCTCTATGAGTTTGCGCTTAAATTCCGTAATAATCTACATTAAAATATTTCTCTTAAACTAGGGTCGAAATTTGAGGCCATTTCCATGTTCAATTTTTCTTAATTCCAATGGCGCTCAGAATGGGAACCCAAAACTACACTTCTATAACCCATAACTTGAGTAATTGGATACCGATTTATAAGTGTGATACTTCTATGAGTTTGTGCTTAAATTCCCTAATAATCTACATTAAAATATTTCGTTTTAACGAGGGTCAAAATTTGACCCCATTATCATGTTCAATTTTTCCGTAAATCCAATGGCGCTCAAAATGGGAACCCAACTCTGCACTTCTATAATCCATAACTTGAGTAATTGGATACCGATTTCGAAGAGTGATACCTCTATGAGTTTGTGCTTAAATTCCGTAATAATCTACATTAAAATATTTCTCTTAAACGAGGGTCAAAATTTGAGCCTATTTCCATCTTAAATTTTTCCGTATTTTCAATAGCTTATAGAATGGGATCACAATACTGCACTTCTATAATCCATAACTTGAGTAATTGGATACCGATTTCAAAGTGTGATACCTCTATGAGTTTTTGCTTAAATTCACTAAAAATCTACATTAAAATATTTCTTTTAAACGAGTGTCCAAATTTGAGTCAATTTTCATGTTTGATTTATTTATTTATTTAATGGCGCTCAAAATGGGAATGCAAAACTGCACTTCAATAATCCATAACTTGAGTAATTGGATACCGATTTCAAAGTGTGATACCTCTATGAGTTTGCGCTTAAATTCCGTAATAATCTACATTAAAATATTTCTCTTAAACGAGGGTCGAAATTTGAGGCCATTTCCATGTTCAATTTTTCTTAATTCCAATGGCGCTCAGAATGGGAACCCAAAACTGCACTTCTATAACCCATAACTTGAGTAATTGGATACCGATTTATAAGAGTGATACTTCTATGAGTTTGTGCTTAAATTCCCTAATAATCTACATTAAAATATTTATTTTAAATGAGGGTCAATATTTGAGCCCATTATCATGTTCAATTTTTCCGTAAATCCAATGGCGCTCAAAATGGGAACTCAAAACTGCACTTCTATAATCCATAACTTGAGTAATTGGATACCGATTTAGAAAAGTAATACCTCTATGAGTTTTTGCTTAAATTCACTAATAATCTACATTAAAATATTTCTTTTAAACGAGTGTCCAAATTTGAGTCAATTTTCATGTTTGATTTATTTATTTATTTAATGGCGCTCAAAATGGGAATGCAAAACTGCACTTCAATAATCCATAACTTGAGTAATTGGATACCGATTTAGAGGTGTGATATTTCTATGAGTTTGTGCTTAAATTCCCTAATAATCTACATCAAAATATTTTTCTTAAGCGAGGGTCAATATTTGAGCCCATTATCATGTTCAATTTTTCCGTAAATCCAATGGCGCTCAAAATGGGAACTCAAAACTGCACTTCTATAATCCATAACTTGAGTAATTGGATACCGATTTAGAAAAGTAATACCTCTATGAGTTTTTGCTTAAACTCACTAATAATCTACATTAAAATATTTCTTTTAAACGAGTGTCCAAATTTGAGTCAATTTTCATGTTTGATTTATTTATTTATTTAATGGCGCTCAGAATGGGGACCCAAAACTGCACTTCTATAATCCATAACTTGAGTAATTGGATGCCGATTTCGAAGTGTGATACCTCTATGAGTTTGTGCTTAAATTCCGTAATAATCTACATTAAAATATATCTCTTAAGCGAGGGTCAAAATTTGAGCCCATTTCCATGTTCAACTTTTCCGAATTTCCAATAGCTTATAGAATGGGAACTCAATACTGCACTTCTAAAACCCATAACTTGAATATTTGGATTCCGATTTCGAAGTGTGATACCTCTATGAGTGTGTGCTTAAATTCCCTAATAATCTGCATTAAAATATTTCCTTTAAAAGAAGGTCCAAATTTGAGCCTATTTTCATGTTAAATTTTTCCGTGAATCCAATGGCTCATAGAGTGGGATCACAATACTGTACTTCTGTAACCCATAACTTGAGTAATTGGATACCGATTTAGAAGTGTGATACCTCTATCAGTTTGTGACTAAATTGCCTAATAAACTACAATAAAATGTTTATTTTCAACGATGGTCAAAATTTAAGCCCCTTTTTGATGTTACATTTTCCGTAACACCAATGGCGCTCAAAATGGGAATGCAAAACTGCACTTCTATAATCCATAACTTGAGTAATTGGATACCGATTTAGAGGTGTGATACCTCTATGAGTTTGTGCTTAAA